GTTAGCAAACCCACAAGCTGCTCTACTGAAGAAACATGGGGCAATCTACTTCTGTAAAGATTTACCACCTGGGAAACCCAATGGAGGTTGCTATGAGTCAGAACCGACTCGATGGCAGTGAGTAATATATGCTATGGGTTTTCTTCACACTTTCGGGCTTTTGTACATGTATCTCTTCATTCATAGAATGTCCTTTCTTGCTTGTCCACCTTCAAGTGAATTCCAACTCATGCCAGTCCCTTACATTCAGAATAGAACTTCTTCATTGGGTTTTCAAGGCTGTAACCTTTTGGAAGCAAATAGCCAAGCCTGTCTTCTGAGATACCTCTGGTTGGTTCAAACTGCCAATCTTTCAAATACTAGTCAAGTGTTTAACCATTTGTGCCACCCAGGAACTCCTAGAAAGCTTCGAGTTACTCTATAAGAGTCATCTTAAATACTCACCTCTCCTTTGATGATGTCTCTCTTTCTCATCTCTGTCCTGAGGGCTTACCATGGCCTATTTTGTGGTCTTTGCACACCTCTCATGTGGCATATACCTCATGGCATTTTGCAGTTACTAATTTATAAGTCTCAGCTTCCATATGCTATAAGCAGCAAAAGAAGGACCATACCTTCTCTGTTTCTGTATTCTTAATGCCCAGCCAATAGGAGGTGGTCCTTATAAGTTGAATAAATAAGAGGATGTGTGATGGATGAATGGACTGATAGTGAAAATACACTTCAGTTAAAGTTTTAAATCAGGATTGATATATCATATACCAGTGTGTACTGTGCCTAAGATGATCTCATAGATAAGCAAGCAAGGGTAGGAAGCCTCCTAAATTTGAGAGAATCAATACCATCCACTCGTGTTATTTCTGTTTTAGCAGCACTAGGTAACTAAGACATATAGTGTGAGCTAAAAAAAGATTAGGCCTATAGATTACTAACGGAGCTCTGGTGGCACAGTGGTTAAGGCATTCAGCCACTAACTAAGTGGTCTGTGGTTCGGACCCATCAGCCACTCCATGAGAGAAAGGTAAGTCACTCTGCTTCAGTAAAGGTTTGCAGCCTTGGAAACCCAATGGGGCAGTTCTACTCTGTACTATAGGATCAATATGAGTTGAAATCAACTTGATGGCAGTGGATTGGATTATATGTAGGCTACTAATATGTAACCTCCGTGTTATGAGTTATCCTTTGTGACTCAAGTGCTCTTGCATATGTGGGAGCACAGATTGGCAAGAAAAATCTAAAACAATGAGAAAGCAAAGGAAACATCTTTCTCAATTCTTCCTTCCACTCTCATCAGTACAGATGATACCATGGCAAGCTGTATCCAAGAAAGCCTAGATAATCTATTCATTAACTACAAGTGATGTAGTTAAAATTTTTCTGAATGCACCTCCAAATTCAGTTCAGTCAGAATTCATACACTTGGCACTCAGATATTCAGTAAATAGTGATGATTTCCTTTTTTCCAAAATGCAGCATCAAGAATAGAGGGTAAATCACTAACAAGATGGTAGACACATTAATACATCTTTCCCTGGGTGAAGGGAAAGACAATATACAATAAGGGAAAGGTCAGCACAAAATGATCAAGGCAGAGGAAGACACAGGCAGGACCACAAGAGTTAAAGGTAACAAAGGTGAATACAGTTACATACAAAATCCAGTAACAGTAGTAATAACAGTAATCTATGAGTGTATATATAGATAGGCACTTAAGCTGAACAAGGGTAGGAAGGCAAATGGAACTATACTAACTAATATATATAGGTTTGTCAGATGATATCTCTACCTATATTTTTTTTATTTGTGCTGAAAATATATCCATGAATATAGTATAACATACAGGGAGTAAAGTTTTGAAAGCTTCTTAGTCA